TTTTTGAATTTCAAACATCAGCCGCGCGACGGATTTGACATACTCTAGATCCGCCCTTGGTTTGCGTGGCAAACTCTTTTTCTGTGGTTAGATAATCTATTGAACAACACATGGCCCAAGTCAGCGAAGCAATTGAGCAAGCTGACGACTTGACACTCTTGTATATCCATCCTAATCCGACACTTTTGGGCTTATTAGGAGACGTGAATGTAGACGATGAACCAAAAAAGAAAGGGTCTCGTCTACAAGAGAAAATGAGCAAATCTGGCGGGAACGGGTATAAACACCCTGCTAAAGCCAACAACAACAATCTCCTAGAAGAAGGAAATGACGGAAGAACTACTTTGGATGACCTTAACAGAAAAGTCCATCAACTTATTGACTTGATGAATACTTTTGCTCCTGTCGTAAAAGAACTGAAGCAGGCTTATGATGCTGCACGCCAAATGAACGATGGTGATGATATGTGTTAAGGTGAAACTGATGACGAACACTCAACAAACGGGCTGCTGCTGTAGTTGCAAATACTTCTCCAGCTCTAGCAAACCAAAGCGATGCTTTGGTAGATGAGCTGGTTCACGAAGTAACTGAGAATAAACCGATAGACCAACCATTGCCAACTAAAATTTCAAAAATACTGCCCAGCATTTTGTCCACTGGACTAAACGACCAAACATCAAAACGGAAGGAAGGAGTAAAATTACCCGAAAACTGTGACCTGTTAAGAGCTACAAAGGTGAACCCAGAAACTTGGGACATTGCTAGGAAATCCACACGTAGCATGGATGCACGTCTACAAAAATTACAAGAAGCCTTAATAAAGGGCCTCATTCCGATTTCACGAATTGATGGAACGATTATTACCTCTCCTGGAACAAACCTTACAACACCTGCACCAACACTAGATGCTATCTTGGATGGGCTGTCCACATCTATTGTGCTTCTCGCTTCAGCTAATCATGATCTAAACATGTGCCGCAGGGACTTGTTCAAAGTTGACCTTGATAAAAATTACAAGGCAATCTGTAGTAACAAAGAACCTTATGTTGCAGAACTGTGTGGTGAGGATTTAAAGGAATGCCTGAAAACAGTAAAAGAAAGCAAAAAGGCTGCACAGCAACTGACAAGCCAAAAACGGAAACGCGACGATCAACACTCTACCAGCTCATATAATAACAATGTGCCTTTTTTATTCCAACGTCGGGGCGGTCATTTGCAAAGCCGAACCAACAAAGCAACAATTATTAAAACCAACCCAAGAGAAAAGTCAAGACAGGGGGAAAACACATAGAAAGCAGTATTTTTCACCGTACTCAGTCCAGCTGAAACAATCCCACTCCATAAAAATCTCTCCTTCAAAAGTCCAAAATGTCGATAGTTACGTTTTCTTAGAGCAAAGAAAGATTGATCTTTTAGAATGATATTAAACCTAAAAGAGCTCAAACGGGATCCCGTTGAGTCACCTGAATTTTTCAGGTTCATGAAACAATTGCTTAAATTGTCCAGCAAAGTGCGAAGATCATATCATCATTTAATTTCAAAACAGCGCACTGCATATCACAATCTTTCATATTTAGGGTTTGTGTTAAATTCAATAGATGTGATGATCTCTATATCCAGAGAGAAACACAACAAATTATGTGAGGTTGCCAGGGGGGTGCTAAAATCTGACTCGCCTAGCATACGGGAAGTGGCCAAGTTAATTGGTATGATGGTAGCTTGTTTTCCTGGCCATGAATATGGCCCACTGTTTTATCGTGATCTTCATAGGGACAAAACAACAACTCTTAAGTCAAACAGGGGTAATTTTGATGCGACATTGAAACTCTTCCTTTCAGCACTGAGGGATGGGGCGCAAGTATTGGCAAACAGTCCACCGTAGGCGAATGGTCAATCCCCGAAAAAGACTCGCACATTAATTGTCTGAAACTCAAGCAATACTGTTTGAGCTACAATCTCTCTGTAGAGATCTAGTACACCCCCACATTAAAGTAATGATTGACAATACCAAAGCCCTTGCATATATTAACCACATAGGGGACTGCTACTCTCCCCATTGCGATAAAATTGCAAGGGAAATATGGGCGTGGGGCAGAATCAGGGACATATGGTTAACTGTCTGCTATATCCCTGGGAAATTTAATGTGGTGGCTGACAAAACTTCCTGAACATTTGATGATTCCAAAGAATTGAAACTTGATGCTGAATTATTTCTTGAAATAACAGCATAATTCAGAACACCAGAAGATGACATGTTTGCTTCTAGACTAAACTATCAATTTATAAATCTCTGTCTCGTGGCACCCAGATCCACAGGCGTGGCCTATCAACGCTTCTTGCATTGATTGGAGTAAATTGTTTCTTTATGCTTTTCCACCCTTTAGTGTTATATCACAAGTTTTACAAAAAGTAGAAATGGCCCAGGCACGGACAATTTTCATCGTGCCGAATTGGCCAACTCATTCCTGGTATCCGACGTTAACAAGATTAATTATTCACCGACCCATTCTCTTACCCAAAAACAAAAGCGACGAGAGCTTACCATCCAATCAAGCAAAAGAACATACACTCAAAGGGAGACTGAGACTGATAGCTTGTCTCTTATCCGGAGATCACTCTCAAGTAATGGCATTTTACTACAACCTCACGCGACAATACTTAATTCCTGGCGGCCAGGAACACAAAAACAATATCAAGTATACCTTAACAAGGGGTTCCGTTTATTAACATAAAGGGATCGGTATCCCCTCTTCCAACTTTACAGGTAGTTCTAGACTTTCTACAGCATCTATTTGATCAAGGGATGAGTTACAGTTGCATAAACACTGCTTGAAGAATATTTTATTCATTCGTTATTACTGAATTCTACGATTGGTACGCATTATATGGTTCAGAGATTTATGAAGGGAGTGCCCAATACAGACCAGCATTACCAGGATATAAAGTGACCTGGGATACCTTCATACACCTCCATTGTTTAAGAGTATTTAAAGGCAGTTCCGCAGTAGAAGACTTAATCCTACAACAGCTTACTCATACATTGGTTTTGCTCTGTGCATTAGTCACAGGGTAGCGTGCCAAATCACTCCACCTCATAAACCTCTTAACTGTAAAGAAGGAAGAGGACTCATGCACCTTCCATATGGACCAACTTATCAAACAGTCTGGACCAACACGCATTCAACCTACTTTAGTGATACCAAAGTTCCCTGCCGATCACCGACTATGTGTTGCCTCAGTTATGGAAGAATATATTAAGCGCACTGCTCTCTTTTGGGGTGAGGAAAATCAACTATTTCTTAGCACAATTCGACCTTTTCATAAATATCAAAGTCATCTATATCTCGTTGGATAAAGGTTGTCATGCAAGCTGCAGAAATTGATATAGAAACGTTCAAAACACATAGCAAACGAGCCGCAGCCACCAGTAAAGCAAAGCAATATGATGTTTCAAAAACGCTATACTGAAAGCTGCAAGTTGGAAGACTGATAGCGTTTTTCATTGGTTTTACAATAAGAATGTTGTGTCTCAACGTGACGATGCGGAATTTGGGAATGCCATTCTTTCAATGCGTCCCAATAAGAAAGATATTGGATGAGAATTCTCTTTAGTTGAACTTGGCACGCAGTCCAGAACACATATACTTGCATGTAAAGTGAATAAGAAGGAATTACTTTCAATTCATATTTGTTATTATTTCTTCGTATGTTTGATACATCTCCGATTAAAATATGCTTATAACTTAATGTCGTATTTGCGTGTAGACATGAATTGTGTCCTCATGACTTTCAAATCTCGTGAGGTCTCTACGGTTGATGCTAATAGAATTAGGAAATTGAACGAGACTTAACTGAAGTTGAAGTTCGATTGGCATTCTATTAGCATCTACAGAGCAAAGACTTTACGCGCACCCATCATGTTACTGCCTCCCTGCATATCGTTCATATGCACATTTAGGCGGTTCATGTGGCCACTATCTTTGAAATATGACCAATGTTCGCATGCGTAGTATCTCGTGTATTCTCTGCTCTGTAGATGCTAACAAAATCCCAATCGTCTAGTAAACCAGGTAAGTCTAGTTCAATATCCTAATTATCTCACAATTCTTATATTATTAAAACTGCAACGGAGAGATTAAAGTTTGCACAGATTTAAAATACCGCTTCTCGAGAATAAAAACAATATTAGACAAGTGAATTCTTCATTTCCACAATAAATGGCTTGAAGAACTTTTCCAAAAAGGCGTTTGTTGACAGTTTCGCTTGCCCAAGTGGAGGGAGCCATACCACAAATATCTACGCTATTCTTGAATGATTTTGAACAGACTCCCACTGCGTATAATTTTATAAATCTTAAATGCACAAATTGAAAATGACATGAAATGCGGTAGAATTATTAAACTTTCATAACTTTTCGTCAACATTATAAATAATGTACAGAATGCAAGAAGTTCGGATACAAAATTTGTTTTTAGAATCATGTATTTAATTAGCTATAATTATTCATCATCCACAAAAATGTATTAGTTTCAGCAATTAAAAATGAACATACAACAAATATTTATGCTATTCTTGAATTACTTTGAAAAGAATCTTACTATGAAATGATCTGATATCCTTCATAAAATAGTTGCAAACATTGTGATTTTAGATGAATTCAGGATATGAGCTTTCACCTATATTTATTACGCTACGTGTAAATTCAATATGTGATTTAAATAAAGTCATGGCAAAACAAAGTCACCATGAAAATGTGAAGACGTGAAACAAGAGTTTACGCTGACAACATGCATGGAAATATCGTTCGAATTACGTGCAAGATTCACACTCTCAACCTAAACAAAATCACCTTTGCTTTCGTTTCTTGGTTTATTAGTTACCTACATTTGGCTGGTATTTAAAGTATTTCCCAATATTTGGCAAATATTTTTATTTTCTCTAAGTAAATTTTCATAAAAGCACAAGTACACATCAAGAAAATAAGAAACAGTTTCTCTCACCTACGTCCGATCCTTTTTGTCTGTACGTTTAGGAATAGGTGGGACTTGAATTCTTTAGTAAACACAGGCTTCTTTTACATCTCGCTATGTAACGGAAATGATAAAAAGAAAAGAAAACAGGATCTTGTTATACTCTATCATCAGAAAATTCCACGCGTGTGGGCAAGGCCAAATCCAAAAACCAATAAAATACTTGCTATTACGGTTTCTCGCGCGTGCGTCACGAAATAATGAAATACATGATTATGTAACTACTGCGTCACACAAATGATAGTAGTGCATATGGTAATTTCAAAACTAATGTGGTCTATATTCTTGTGTAATTTTGATTGTACTGTTATATCAAAATATGGAAATAATTAGCGATTCATTAACTCTGCGTATATAATAAATCTTAAGCAATGACGACACAGTGAACAACACTATCATTAAAGTTGTGACAGGACTTTCTAAATTTCAACAATACATGTAGATATACAAATTATTCATCATGTGAACATATCGTGATTCATTATAATTAAATCATAATAATATGTAAAATTACATATTGTATACTGTCAAATTCCTTTGTAATTATTTACATAAGTATCGTTATGAATATTGTCAGCTCCATATTAATCCTTAATACTGTTACATTATAGGAATATACAGTAGGGCCACTTCACTGTGCAAGTGGCTGCTGTATATTTAATTTGTTTACAGGCTGCCGTTTGCCATATCGTCAATCCTATTGGTCACACAATGCAATTTACTGGCTGCTAATAAAGTAATCACATGCGTAATAAGATATACGTGGCGCGTAAAAATTAAATGGACTGGTCCTACTGTATGTTCTCTATACTGTGATACTGTCGATGAATGTTCGTTCACGCCACTTTCCCTCAAGAAATCTTTTTTGTCACACGCTCTTTTAATCTGTAGATTAAAGTAAATAGCCCTAAGGTTTTGTGCAAGAGCTTTCTTTGTAAATTTCTTATCGGCAAACGTAAAGCAATAAAGTCAGCATGAACATTTTTCTCTCAGTAGCCGTTCTAATTATCAAACATGTTGTATAGAAACTCAAAGTTGTGAGTCAAAGTAAATATTCAATAAAGCATTAATGTTTAAATATTCTGAAGGTTTACCTCCTTACTTTCTTTATTTGTTGCAGTAGTGGATTTAGGGTAGTCACAGCGAGCAGCAGCGAGAAAAATAAATTAAAGCTGAAAAATTTTAAATTCAAAGAACGCAGATTATGTCTTTTTCAAAAATTTTAACTACAAAGAACTGTAATACTGGTTTCCATGAGTCATTACCATGGTTAAGGTTTTTCCAACAGTTAAAAACAGTACGTGAAAACCTTTAATGTCCTTATCAACAAGCGAATTCCCTAGAAGTGTACCTCCCCCGCAAATACACTTTCAAAATAAATCAGTCGAGAACGTCTGCCTTTACGAATATGGACCTTCCAAGTTTCAACGTTCTAGATAACGCCACTGATCATAAAGTTTCGCTTAGTTTTAAGGTCTGCAGCAAGTTATTTAAACACTATGATGTTAAATCATAATATTATGTAAAATTACATATTGTGTGCAGTCAAGGTCTTTGCAATTATTTACATAAGATATTGTTATGAGTATTGTCAGCTTCATATTAATCGTTTATACTCTCACAGTATAGGAATATACAGTAGGGCCACTTCGTTGTGCAACTGGCTGCTGTATATTTATTTAGTTTACTGGCTGCCGTTTACAATATCATCAATCCAATTAGTCACACAATGCAATTTACTGGCTGCCAATATGGTAATCACATGCGTAATAAGATATACGTGCACGTAAAAATTAAATGGACTGGTCCTACTGTATGTTCTCTATACTGTGATACTGTCGATGAATGTTCGTTCACGCCACTTTCCCTTGTGAAATCTTTTTTTGTCACACGCTCTTTTAATGTGTAGGTTAAAGTGTATAGTTTAATGACGTTAAGGTTTTTGTGCTAGAGCCTTCTTTGTAAATTTCTTATCGGCAAACGTAAAGCAATAAAGTCAGCATGAACGTTTTTCTCTCAGCTGCTGCTCTAATTATCAAACATGTTGTATAGAAACTCATTGTGGACAAAGTCAATAAAGCTTTGAATATATTCATAGTTTATATAGAAAGTAAATATTCAATTTATTTTATGAAGTATGCAGCATGAAAAACTAGTGTTTAAAGCTGAAAATTCTGAAGGTTTACTTCCTTACTTTCTTTATTTGTTTCAGTAGCAGATCTAGGGGTAGTCACAGCGAGCTGCAGCGAGTTAAATAAATTAAAGCTGCCTAATTTTAAATTCAAAGAACGCGGATTATGTCTTTTTCAAAAATTTTAAGTACAAAGAACTGTAAAACTGGTTTCTATGAGTCATTACCATGGTAAAGGTTTTTCCAACAATCAAAAATGATACGTGAAAACGTTTAATGCCCTTATCAACAGGCGAATTCCCTATAAGTGTTCCCCTCCCCCCCCCCGCAAATACAATTTCAAAATAAATCAGTCGAGCACGTCTGCATTTACGAATATGGACCTTCCAAGGCTCAACGTTCTAGATACGCCACTGATCATAACCTTTCGCTTGGTTTCAAGGTCTGCAGCAAGTTTTTTAAACACTATGATGTTAAATCATAATATTATGTAAAATTACATATTGTGTACAGTCGAGTTCTTTTGTAATTATTTACATAAGGTATTGTTATGAATATTGTCATCTCCATATTAATCGTTTATACTCTCACAGTACAGGAATATACAGTAGGGCCACTTCGATGTGTAACTGGCTGCTGCATACTTAATTCGATTACTGGCTGCCGTTTGCCATATCGTCAATCCAATGGGTCACACAATGCAATTTACTGGATGCCAATATGTTAATCACATGCGTAATAAGATATACGTGGCACGTAAAAATTAAATGGAGTGGTCCTACTGTAAGTTCTCTATTCTGTGATACTGTCGATGAATGTTCGTTCACGCCACTTTCCCTCAAGAAATCTTTTTTGTCACACGTTCTTTTAATCTGCAGGTTAAAGTGTATGGCTCGATGGCGTTAAGGTTTTGTGCTAGAGCCTTCTTTGTAAATTTCTTATCGGCAAACGTAAAGCAATAAAGTCAGCATGAACGTTTTTCTCTAAGCAACCGTTCTAATTATCAAACATGTTGTATAGAAACTCATTGTAGTCAAAGTCAATGAGCTTTGAGTATATTCATAGTTTATATAGACAGTAAATATTCAATTTATTTTATTAATTATGCAGCTTAAAAACCTAAGGTTTAAAGCTGAATATTCTGAAGGTTTACCAGCTTTCTTTCTTTATTTGGTGTTCATATATACTTGCTTCTTCCATTAACTATTGCATCTGCTGTAAGATCCCATTCCATGCATAGATTTCTCAAAAGTTATTCAATGTTATATTCGCAGATATGGAAAATCAGCACGATAACCTTTCGCTCGATATTTGCTGGAAATTTGCAATTAGACAATTGCAAAAGAATTTCTCAAAAAAAGAACGCAGATTGTGTCTTTTTTCAAAATTTTAAATGCAAAGAGCTGCAATACAGGTTTCTAGGAGTCATTAGCATGTTAAGGTTTTCCACAGTAAAAAATAATACGTGTAAACCTTTAATGTCCTTACCAACAGACGTTGCCTCCCCTGCAAATACACTTTCAAAAGAGATCAGTCGTCCACGCCTGAATGTTCGAATATACACCTTCCAAGGTTCAACGTTCTAGCACAGAAAAACATCTAACAGAAGGCCCACTTGGCTAAAATCGTGGCGTATTTTTTTCACAACGAATGCGTTACATCCCAGCAAGATACTTTCACAAAACCCCCAGTTAGCACACGACGTTTTTTTAACGTTGACTGAAGGTTGTATTTACGTTGCGTTGTGATATAACGTTAATACAACGTTCTTACCACGTTGTTTTTCTTATTCAAATTTTAACCACGTTGTGTCAACGTTGGTTAAACGTTAAAATTAACATTCGGTAAGGAAATTATGTTGTTACGTTGAAACAACGTTTTCTAAACGTTAAGAGAACGTTAGTACAAGGTGATTTTTTGGTCATCGGCGTTGTTAATAGGGACCTTAAGATTTTACGACGCGCTTTTAAACGACGCTAGTTGTGCGCGCACGTTCTGGGGCGAGACCCGACGGCGTAGATTATACATTTTGACTTAAGTTTTTGACTGGGCGACGTGTGTAGTTTCAGCAACATCATTTTAGAGTATTTAAAAATGTCGTCATTCAGAAATGCAAGAACTGCTATCGCTTTTGCCTATGATGCAGCTTTAATTAATGACGAGGAATTTGTCTTACTATGCGATTCTTGCCGTTCGAAAAATCCTGAAATAATGCACAATGATTATCCATCATTTGATCTGCTAGAAATAGACGAAGTTACCTGTTCTTTGGATTTTTGTTTTAAAAATCATGAAATACCGCTGCTTGTTGAAGCTTTAGAGTTTGCTTTACCAATTCAAGTGCAAGCAAGGAACAGTTTGCACTGGATTTGAGGCTCTTTGCATAGCCCTTCGTCGTTTTCTTATCCTTGCAGATGCAGTGACTTGGTATCTCAATTTGGTAGATCTGTGCCTGAATTTAGCATTATTACCAATTCTGTGATAGATTTTATTTACGAAAGGCACGGGGAAAAAATAACAAATTGGAATCACGATCTACTGAGTCCCAATAACTTGAAAATTTATGCTGAAGCAATTCACCAGAAAGGAGGAGCTTTAGACAATTGTTTTGGTTTTATTGAAGGCACAGTGAGGCCAATTTGCCATCTAGATGAAATGCAAAGTTTACTATACAATGGTCATAAGAGGGTACATGCTATAAAGTTTCAATCGATCACTATTCCTAATGGAATGATAGCCAATTTGTTTAGGCCAGTTGGTAAGCACATCATTTGACTAATATCTTTATGTTTACTTTGAGTTTCATTTAATTTTTTTGTTTTATAGAAGGAAAAAGGCACGATTCTGCTATGTTAGCCTCATCAAGGCTACTGCAGGATCCACAATTCTATGCCTTTTACAATGGTAAACCCATTTGCTTGTATGGTGGTCCAGCCTACTCATTGCGTATGCACCTACAAGCACCATATACGAACAGGCAACTTACAGTCTACATGCAAAAATTTATCAAATTAATGAGTGCTGGAAGGATATTAGTGAATGGATTTTTGGGGATATAATAAGCTATTCTAAGTTTCTTGATTTTAAAAAAGATCTATAAATCAACCTTAGTTATGTTGGAAAAATTCATATAATGGCTTCATTGCTTAGAAATGCTCTGACTTGCTTGCACTCAAATACAACCAGTAAATTTTTTCAACTTGAACCACCTTTACTTCAAAAGTACTTTTCCTAATTTTTTAAAAGCTTCATCATGTGATTATAAAGCCTATCAACAATAAATAAATAACTGTTTAAAGAAAACATATTGTCTACAATTTAGAGACATTGTTATCTCATTTCTCAACCAATTTAGCCAAAAGGGAAATCAAAGCTTGCCCTTGTTGTTGTTGTTCTTGTTGTTGTACCAAAAGCAATTGATTTTGTTGCAATTGTTGGTTCTGCTGTCATTGCATTTCCATTAAACTCTCAAACTGCTTGTTTTGCTTTTCCATCAGTTGCTCTTGCTTTTTTTTTCTGCTGCTATTTGTTGCCTCTGCAATTCCAGTCTTTCTCTTTCCAAAATCAAACTGTCCTCTTTACTTTTCTCTCTTTCTCAGCCTTCTCCCTTAGGAAATCTAAGGTTGAGTCCCCCCCTTTTCTTACTTTTTTCTTAACCGGACCCTCATCATTTTTTTTCTCTGCTTGGTTTCTGCTAGATGCTCCATGGCTCTTTTTCGCATTTATTCTGCAGCTAGTTTATCAGCATCAGTTTTCTTCCTTTCAGCAGCACACGCTTCAGCAGCCACAACATCATTTGCCTCCTCTCTAGCATTAATTTCCTCTAGCAAGTCATCCAGCTCATCATGTTCTGGAGAAATTCCACTTGCAGCTCTTTCTTCTCTCTCCTTTACACAGTAGTTGGCTATCAATTTTCGCAAGTGATCTATAACTGATCGCTGATCTACTCAAAAGTATAGATGGTCATGAAGTTCCAACTTTCTGGCAATGCTGTCCCACAACTTTCCCCTTTCGATAGATTTCTTCCTTGTCTCAAAGATTTATGACACCACTACCTCTTTGCACAATTCAAGTCATGTTTTATAGTCCATTTCATCACAAAGCCAATTCTAAACAGAAGAGGCCGTCAACGAAAAACCTGGTTCGACAATGTTAAAGAGTGGACTGGACACACACAAACAAATTGCTGAGAATGACAAAAGACCGAAGACAATGTAGATCCCTGACTCAGTCTCTATTATGACAGCCCTACGACATGAAAATGTCATGGGACTGACATGACATGACATGACAGACTTGTTTGAAGCCACATAGAAGCTGATTTACCACTTTGCGTGTATCTCGCGTGGACTGTTTTGTTTGCGTGAGTCGAGAAGCTTTTATAAAAAAACGGCATGGCTTACCATGTAAATTTTTCATGGCGGGGAAAAACTTCAAATACTTCAAAATCGTGTATGAATTTTGAAAAGCTGCGTTTTCAAATCTATAATAAAATCGACAAGAGACGATGTGTGTAATTATTTGCTTTATTTTGTGAAAAATGAAAATGTGATGTGCGCGAGTCTACTTATCAACAGTTGAACATGGAAGGTAAAATTTAGAAAAATAATCAAATACGGGTTATATAACAGGATCAGAAAACGTTTCACTGATTTTTGAATAAAATGAGCTACGTCAGACGATGCCGGTCGCTTTGTTGCTCTTTTGCTACAACTGATTTGTTGTAACGTTTTCCATACGTGAATAATCGAAGCTTGAAGTATCTCTCTGCTGTAAGTTTGATGAGCTTAGACCTATGTTCTTCTTCCAAATCGCCTTTTACCAATACAGTCTCCTGGTCTTCAAACACTCGATGGCTGGAATTCATAATGAAATAATTGCAGACGTTTAGGATCATTCTTTGCTTAATATTTTTGTAATTAAATATGCTTCGGGGATAGCTTGTTGCCAACGGTAAGCCCCTCACTTTCCTGGAGGGTGGTTATGGACTCAAAAAACTCCCATTGAATTGAGTTCTTTTTGCCATGAACAAATGATTTCAAATGATGTAGGGCATTTCTTGCTAATTTCAACATATGACATGGATCAAGGATAGCGTAGATGTAGTACTTTTGTGTAGGATGTTTAAATTTTGTAATTATTGTGTTGTAGGATGTTGTGAAAGTGCAACCAAGTTGTCTGAACATTGTAAGGTTTACTGTTGTGCCATCTGTTGTGATTGACCACACACGAAGTCGTGCTTCAGCTGCCAATGAAAGTTCCATATTGGCAAGTTCGGCTTGTATTTTGCCACTCAATTTGGTTGCAAGAAAATATCCTTTTGGACGTTTCCAGTGACTTCGTGTGCCCACACAAAGAAATACAACGGCTTCAGTTGCAATTTCCCTTGTCTTTTCAGTTGGTATTGGTCTATAGTCAATAAAGCCCACATATCTCTCTTGATTTGCATCCCACAAGGTTTGTTTTTTCTAATTTCCATCCTATCTCTTACAAGGAAGGCATCTCTTGTCTGTAGATTTTCTGACTTCTTCTGATAATGAAATGAATGCTTCCTTAATGAATCCAGGCTCACATTTTTAAGTGCTGGACCATTTTTATCATTGATTGATTTGTAAGAGGCTATATTGATCTAACATACTCATATGCCTTGGGTGAATAATAGTTAATAGTTATTGAAAATTCTTTCACAGCGTCTGAATATCTTCGTGCACAAGGTGCACAATTAACATTGTTCTTGGTGTCTCTAAATATTGAGAGCTGTATCTGGTCAAACTTCACATGCAAATGTTCAGCAGCATCACTTGATATAATCAGTTTTTTTTTTAGTTCCTGAATAATGTCCGTCATTGTTTGCTGTTTTGATTAGTCCGCCTTAGTTGTTGTTGCAATCCTCTAATTTTTCTTTTTAATTTTCCTTCCAGGTATGTTCTTGACTCATTTACTTCTCAAATGTGTCACATCCGCAGCAAATGTTGCTGGTGTCGTGTTGTTAGTAATTGTTGCTGGGGTTGTAGCCATAGGAATTGTTACTGGAGTTGCAACTGTAGATGTTGTGGGTTTGAATAATTGAAAGTTGAACAGAACATTCAATGCCAAGGTTATGGTTGCAATAAAACAACAAGCCTAAAAATATAAAGATAAGTAGCTATATATACTAGTGTATAATTAAAAAGTAAAAATACTTGATCAAGGTTTTACTTGATATAAGAGTGTAAGAATGTAACCATTTGACCATGTGACCGACTAACCTTAGAAGAAATAAGATAAATACATGTTGGATGACTTTTTGCCACTTTATTCTCCAGATCCAAACTGAATTCTCGAATATATTTTTCTTTTCGTTAAATAATCTGTGAAGAGTGTTAGACATGAGATAGCAGGCGATAAGCAACATCACAGTCCATATCATCGTGTTGATGAACACCTAAAATTGGAAATTTATAAAAGATTAAAATATTTTATTTTTATAAGGGGATCTTTAGAGTAGCATAGGATATGTTGTTCTTCATGAACTAAAGTTGTAGAGCAATGAAGCTTTACATCGTTCTTATTGCCAAAAATATTGCAAGAAAAAAAGCACAAATATGATTCATTTTGGGTATTTTTTTAGTGCTATATTTAAAACAAATACTCTTTTACAATGGCCAATTTTGTTTACCTATAACTAATGGCCAGTTAATGATGGTGAATTGCTCATGCAATCCTATAAAACAGAACTCAACCCTTACCATGGCAACAATCAAAGAGGTAACCATCGCAAACATTCCAAAATCTAAGCTTCCTGCCCCTAACCAAGAATTGAGGGCACAACCTGCATTGTCTAAAACAGCCTCAGTAAAAAGATCGCAAAACAATAGCATAACCTACAGAAGAATGAAATATTGCATCTATATTATATCCATAAAAAACGAGATATACATAGCATATCAACTTTAATACATTTATGAGTGGGCCATAAGTTTAAATAAAATGCTTTACTCACAGATGCGAAAAATTTAACGTCACATTGACTCGTTTTTAAAAAACGAAAAGACTTTCGATATCGTCCCCATGTTTGGTTTTGATGCTTGTATATAAAAAAGAAGAGTAAATTATCGTAAATTGACACAAAAAATGAAAATCAAAAATTATTCATCGAAGGCAATTTGCTTTAAATTTATTCGTACTCTAAGGCAAAAGAGCTGAATGTTTTTGGAAGAAGGTTTAAGCTTCATCAAATTTTTCTAAATTCATGATTTATCAATCCCAGAAAGAAACGACTTTTGATTATGAGTCGAAGAAATTTAAAGATTTAAATGAGCGGCAACGAAGAAAGAAGTAGCATAGTTAAATTTCTAGCCAGCATTTGAAACTCATCAAGAATAGTTTCACAGTTACTTTCAAATAGTGTGGAGTTGAAAATTTAAACGCGTTAACTGTAGTTCAATAGACTTGCGCTATACAACTAAATTGTTCCATCTGAGTTTTACTCAATAGTTCACAACGGGAAGCTAGGCATTATTTACGAGCAACTTGTAAACAAAGGAACTCAACTGCATCATGAGTTGGGAAAACACAGAAACAATTTGTAACAAAGGAAGAAGATTGCGCAGTTTAATTTTCGTTGATGAGTTGGCTGCAATGGAGTTATACAAATACTTCGTTTTTCCTTTCTTCTATCTTTTCCTCTACTTTACTTTAAAGAATCGCATTAACACAACAAGAGGCAGCAGGAATTTATATTCTACAGTAAGAAAAACAAACCTTAGCAACAATTTTCTAAGTAACTTGGTCCTGCATGTTTAATGAGATTAGTAACTGCAGTTAATCATTTCATCATTCCTATTGGTCAAAAAATGCAACAGACTGTCTGCCATTTTGATGATGACGAGTGTGATGATATAAACGTTGCACAATTTTCTATAAGCTATATCTCCAACATATAGAGTTTTCTTTCTGAAGTGAAAACGCTTCATCCTCAGGCTTTTTTGCCAATCTTTCTTTTCATACGTCTTCATTATCCATATGAATATTAACACTATTAAAATTTCGTATACATTGATACATTGTGAGGATAATATCTAAACACGCTAACATGAGTAACCTCGCCAACTTAAGCTGATATCTTTGAGGGGCGCATGAAGTAGCTATTCACAGCAACTATAAAATTGCACATTAAAGCTATTTACAAAACGCTACATACAAAACAATTAATACTTAGAATATGACATAGTGTATAAGGTTATAAGTCTATTACGTAATCACAGTTGATTTCAATAGAAATTAATAAAGTAAAATGTGTATTACAAAATATTACCCCTCCGAACCAACTATCAATCTTCGGCCACCCTTGTTACTTTTTACCAAATAATACTGTACATTTTCAGTTTATCTATGATAATAGGGACCTTAGTTAAATAATCAGTTAAAACTCAGTTTTTTTGCTTCATTTATTTAACAGAAGTACAGTTTTAAGTAAAAGCGGTGAGAAAAATAGGTACAGTTTTAACTGATTATATAATTAATGTCACTGGGGTCGTAGTACAAGTTCTGCTTTTGAATAAATGATAGTTTAAGTTTGCATCGACTGCAAAAATAATGGTTGCAATGAAACAGCAAACCTATTAAATAGAAATAAGTAGGCTAAATATTTGAAACACTCAAAAACTTTTCTTTGGCTGTCTAATACTTCATATAATTGTGAGGCAAAATTTGATTAAGTAGTCATTTAACTCATTGATTTGTATATTACATGGATCGCCCATCACTAAATAAATTTGAAGCTAGAAGGCGGCCATATTGAGCAGTCCCACTTCACGAGGCTGACATACAAAAAATATTTTAATTTCTGCTGCGAAAAATTGCGAAATCGTTAACTTAAGGTGCATTGACAAAACTGCTACGTATTAGCTTTAACAAGATTAAGTGTAGGAAGCAGTTGTACCATTAAGAAAAGATTTTTTTCCAAAATTTTCGTGACACCATTTGAGAGATACTATCGCAAGAGAATGCTTCTAGCTTCACGTTGAAAGATTTTTTTAAGGTGTATGAGGGCAGTGCGCTCCAAAATTCATTGCTATGGTGGCTCTTTACTATAGATTATTATTGTGAGTGGGACTGTTCAATATGGCGGCGCATCTAATTATAATTGTCTACTTCCGGCTTCAAACTTTTGCACTAAAACGATATTGGAACTGCACGACCATGTAATATACATATCAATGATTTAACTACGTGAATGACTAACCGTAGCACTAACAAGATGAAAGCATGTTACACCGACTTTATCAGTGTCCAGGGAGTTACATAGTGTATTAGAGATCTTCTTGCTATAATATTTTCGAAGAGTGTTGGACATAGCACCACAGGCTATTAACAGTTTACACCCCATAGCACCATGTTGATAAACACCTAGAAATAGAAATTTTGAAGAATTTCAGGTTTCTCTACGAGAAAATGAAAAATAACATTGAGTACGATACTTTTCATCGACAAAAATACTGTGCAATATTATCTTGTTGACAATCATTGATTCAACAAAAACAAAATTTTTTAGATATTGTATACCTACCGTCAATGGCCAGTTGATCACAGTGACTTTTTCGTGCAACCCAGTTACAAAAACAACGACCATCACCATGACAACAATCCATGAGACGACAATTGCAAACATTCCAAAATATAAGCTACCTTTTCCTCCCCAAAGGCTGATGGCAGAACCTAAGTTGCCCAAAAATGCTCCCAATGTACTTATTGCAATCAACAGTACACCCTACAAATGAATGAAATATTTCGATATATATGCATAAAGCATGGAACTGAAAAATATAACACGTGTATAGTATACAATTTGGCCGAATGCAGTAATTGCGAGGGTCGGCTATAATTTTATATAAAGTAAACCACTTACAAATTCTGCTATCTTCAAGAAAAAGGGAATCGTTTTGATGTATTTAATTCCCTTCGGTATCGTCCCCATGTTTGGCTATAATGATGATATGCAAAGAAAAGTAAGTTGACGTCATGACTGGTTGAAAAATGACATGTCAAAATTATTAATTAAAACCAAATTTAGGTGAGTTATATCACGCTTGTGTGCTTAAAATTGGATGTTTTGTTTTTCCAGTTGCTGTGTAAAAGAGCTTGTATTTTAGAAAATACGTTGTAATATCAGACATTCAATCCATAATTTATTAATTACAAAAAAAAAACACATTTGAGTATGTTAATTCGATAAGAAACATAAAAGTAAAAATGACAGTAAAGAAGTAAGAAAGAACATAGTGAAATTTCCAGCAATCGTATGAAACACTTACCGCAAAAAAATTTCGCAAATACTTCTGAACGATATGCAAAGATAGCGTTGAGTTGAAAAATTAAACACGCAAGCTGTTGTTCAGTAGACTCACACCTCTTTACAATAATTAGTACAAGTCTCGTTATATATAATGTTATGAAAAGTTATGCATTATTGATCAATCACCACCTTGCCAGAAAAATGAACTCACATGTCACTGGAAAAGCACAAAATCAGTCAGTTCAGCGTTCTTATTGGTCAGAAATTACAATTTACTGGCTGGCGTGGTTGCCACTATATGATAATTAAATGTGTTATAAGAGAAGCGCGTCAACAAATAATCACTACATTGGCCCTCCGGCCCTACTGTATGTTATCTATACTGTGTTTCTGCTGTGCAAATTTTATGTCCGTTTTTAGTCAATTCCATATTTTAAATAAACACAAAATACTCAATGTATTAGTAAAAAAATTGCGTTGTTCGTCACTGCTAATTAAATCCAATATTATCTTAATATATCAATCTATAATTTGATAATTGACTGTAAATCATAGCAACACTCTTCTTTCGATAATAAAAGGTAAAGTATGCATCTGAAATAATGACCTTGAACCAATTCCAGTAAGCGCGTGAAAAAGCAGGTAGCAAAGGATATAGTAATATCTTGAATCAACACCTGTCTATATGGACTCCATGCTGCCTGATACTTTTAAATTAACATCTCTATGAAAATTTTGTTTAGGAGATAGAAACGAGAATTAAAATCAGATGTTTTCTGCAAAAATTCACAGGTAGGCATAAAATATTTTTTAAGCACGCGGATTTGGTGATATAAATTTATTAAAAGTGTGGTTACACAATTTATATCACAAGTAAATGAATAATTACATAACTATTATTATATACAACTCAAAGCTTCGACAGTCCTTTATCCATTGCAAGGAATGTTATGAAGACAAAGTTACGATTTAAATACTAAAGCTAATACAATAATGACTACGTTTCTTCAAAGATAACAAAAATTTAATCATTGTGAAGCCAAGACAACCAATTATACGCTTTGTCTTCATTCAGACCATAGCGCTGCTATCTGCAACTTGTCTCTTCAAGACTTAAGTCTGGTTCTCATTAAGTCGCTTAAGCCATCCGAGTAGTTCCGAGTAGTTCCGAGTTCTTTCGTTGTTTTTGAAAACGACGGCGACGACTCAAGCTATGGAATTCTCATATATTCGTACTAGCGCTGCCGAGAGACTTTATAAATTATTTCTGTGCAAAAAAAAGAAAATGGCAGCTGCTGTTTATGAAAGACAATATCTTTTGGCTGTTTATTGCTTCTTCAAATTATTTTTTACCATAAAATCGTCGCTTGTATTTCTCAACGGTCGTTTCGGTCGTCAGGATAGAGCAAAGTTCTATCCAAGCGACCCTGGTCGTTTTAGTCGTGTGAGTCATTTGAGGTCATCCCGGTCGCCTTTGCAATGTTCTCATATAGTCACACAAGTCGTCAAGCCATTTAGGCACGACTAAAACGACTCAGACAACTATATGAGAACAAGGCTTAAACAAACAATCTAATTACGCATGCTGTTTTAGTAAGAAAGACCAGTTTATCAGCATGGGTGAAGATATCTGTAAAACATTTAAAATATATCCGTCATTTTTTTTGTATAACTACGTTAAATTGTGGCCTTAAAATGATTGAATTAAGGGGCTTAACAGCAATTCTCAAAGACTCAGGCTTTGTAATTGCTGGTCTGGGTGGGGGGAGTGATGATTATCTTTCGTGAGATTTTATTTTTCTCTTTCACTAACAACTGGTTTCAATTATTTACGAGTTTCAATTAAATTTGCTCTTGCAATAATTTATTCGTAAATCCACCTGCTATAATATAGAGTAATGTATTTTGAATAAAGCTAGAAATTGCAGGAAATGTATTGCCTCTATAACATATGCAGAAAAAAGGACTTTAGTGTTAGGTGTTGGACTGTCTATAAACAAGATGGGTATAATGATGTCGCAAAGAGACAATTAAGATGGTGCTTTTTTAGTCCATCATTCCTATAAAGCTTATCAACTTAAAATAAACAATTCCACGAGTACTTTCAGACGATAATCAAGGGTCCCAAACACGAAGTACACAATATCCAACGCTATTCTACGCTAGCATTGTATGAGCTCGATAAGCCATCAGTCTAGATCCATGTAACGAATCACCATAAGACAAGCTTTCGACTAATCTATGTCTCTTTAACATTTGACAACCCTTATTCCGTCAAGAGACACACTCGTCAGTGAAGCATGATTCCAGATCAGTTACAACTCAATTGAACTTGTAACCTGCAAGATTTATACTGGCTTATTGCCCCCTTTATCTGTCTTATTATTGTTTCTAGAAAAACAACCTGGCCAATGAGTTAAAACGGTTGATGTATTCTTCTGAAAAAGGCAGTCATGTGTCTAATACAATATCTCCTCGACCTTGAGACTAAACCAAAGGCAATTAATAGAAACCTTTTCTAGACGACAATTTGAAAAATAAATAAGAAAACATTTTTCAAATTTCATGAATCTTCGGACACTTTTTTACACGGACTTTTTACTCCGGTCGGAGTCGGTGTTTTCTCGGCCGAAGTGGAAATAAAAGAACCACTAACCAACACAAACAGTGACCACTAATCACACTCATAACAATCCTCCACTAAACCATGGTACGCATTACACATATGAGCTTCTGGCAAGTCACCTTCAGGGGCGAAACTAGAATGTTAAGTGGGGGAACATGAATATTCATATATTCAATCCTGCTTGACAGATTTGGTTTTTTTACGATTATAATAGCTAAATGAAGGAATATTCCTCCCACCCTCTCATACAACGTTTTAGTTTCGCCTTGGTCTCCTTACCCTACTTTTTTCAATTTAAGTTCATTTTCTTTTACAGCATTTGATAAAAACGAAGTTCATTAACGCGCTACACAATTCAAATACGTAAAGACAAAGTGCATTAGCGTTTGTTTAACATCAATATGGCAAATTATTATTTCAATGAGACACTTCATTATGCATTCTTTAAAGCTAAAGTCAACAGCGTGAGTCAAATGTCAAAAGCATTTAGTGAGCATTTATTAAAGTTTTGGGAAGTACAATAGATAATAACAAATGACGTTAAAACTCTATAAAATGTCAATAACAATATATGTTTGCAATTGCATGATTATAACCATCAACATAGCAGAACTATTTATCCGTACGATGTCTGCCATTTGAAGATAGACTTGAGAAAGTTTTTCAAATGTAGGAACTAAAATTTGTCCGTCTTCACTGTGTTTGCGTCATTTTCACTTGTTTACGAGTGAAGCGGATCAAATCTGGTTTTAATACGCGCATAATAGAGACAACCACTTTCACACTTTCACATTCATACACTTAAAAAAAGTAAAAAGAAAGAATCTTTAGGGTTAATCATGCAATTGCAGACATTTAGTGTTATTGACATTTTATAGAGTTTTAATGTTATTTGTTATCATGCTATTGTACTTTCCAAAACTTTTATTAATGAACGCTAATTTTTTTTAACAATCCCTTCGCGTTATTGATTTTTACTATATGGAATGCATAATGAAGTAATCTTATTTAAACTGATCATTTGCCACATTGATTTTACAAAAATGCTATTGGACTTTTTCTATACGTCTTTGAATTGCGGTATGCGATAATGATTGTCGTTCTTATTTAAATGACATGCAAATGCTTAAACTGACGTATTTAAAATTTATCTCTGTTAACTTGAGTGAAATTGATATCTATAGCGGAGAGTCAATCTTCTGTTTTAGGTACTGACGGAAATTCAGACCTTCAAACTTGCTTGTAATGTAAGTGCTGAATTTTTATTTTTATAGACACAAGAACCGTACATTTTCAGCAATAATTAGGACAAGAAGAGAAGATGTTTTTAGCAAATAGAGATCAAACTTCAACATTACCGTTCTAACAATTTGTACTACATTGTATTTGTTCTATCATCTTCCTAAACTTACTTGGTGTGTATTGCTTCTTTTTGAAGTTATTCTCATTTAAATCTAGATTCGTCTGCCCAACCAACAAAAAAAAGGAAATGTGTAAGTTATTAAAACAGGAAGAGAAATTGACCGACACGAAGTGAAAGGATCTGAAAGAGCTCCGAAGCAGGTGATGTGTGTTTTTATTGATGTTTTATGCGATATCCATGAATGTCAATGTTGACAGGTAACATATTTTTTTCTTACAAATAACGTGCGAATTTTTTGTGATTGAAACGCTATAAAACATTAAAACTAACCCAAACCATGTACGCTACTGTTGAAAGCAACAGGACGCTATCCCCGGATTAAATTTCGCTCAGTATGTTTCACAAAACTTAGGAAATGTATTCACAACACATGCGCTCACTGTTTACTGTAGTAGAAATGTAAACGGGGAATGTTTCCTGTTGTAAAAATTTACTTTATTTGGATATACCATACCCACGTATTTGCATACCGTGCGACGTTGGAATGAAAAAAACAGCAATTAACCAATACAAAAATTAACACATTAAAGTTTATATCGTTTGAACGTAATATATGATTTAAATTATTGGATTTTGTTTCACGAATATTCCGCCAGTCTGTCAAGTGTAATGATATTTTTCGTTTCTATGCAAAAGAAAAGTGCACATTAAACTGAGGTAGCTAGAAGCCCCAAGAGATCCATTTCCAGAAAGAAACAAATTTTGAGATAACGGTTGGAACAAATTGGCAGTGAAACACAAAATTTTACTGAATTTGATCAAATTACTGTTAAATTTCCATCCACAAAATGTAACACTAACCAAGAATAGTTTCACTACTACTTATAAAGATAATCCATGATAAAGTAAAGTTGAAAACTAAAGGTGGAAGCACACTATCTCTAGTTTCACCGTTTGATACACTCATACCGAAAATGAACTGTACGAAAGCAAATCTCACAGCATAATTTTAATTGAAGATAGCTCGGTGTGCATTTCTGAACCATTTTACGAGAAAATTCATCAAAGTTTGCTTGTTCGTGAATTTCTTTGATGTCAGCTTGCATTAAAGTTCGTAATGCCAGTTTTTGTCTGGTGAACTTTGTAAAGACCATAAAGTATGCAACTTTTTGTGTGCAATTTACGATAGAATCTTAGTGTCTAGGCGCCAACGTTCAAAGCTAAAACTACCCAAAAATAATGTTTATTTAAGTAAAAAAGCATGCTAAAACTACTCTTACGTAAAAGTGAAACAATTGAAAATGAAAATGACACCTTATATATAATCAGTGAGTATCTATGATAATAAACGAAGCTTTAATTGTCAAAGAAAATATGGCGAAAGTTCAAACCGCCGTCAAAAACAACCGTTGAAATATTCAAGTAAACCGCTGTTGAAAAGTACAGTTTGACTACCCTATGTGGAAGTCATTGCAGGTGTAGAGGTCTTAGCCGAAGATGTGTCACATTGACCTCTAAGTATCCGGAAGTTAAAGAAAGCATCAACTGCAAAAAGAATGCTTGCAATGAAACAGCAAACCTAGAAAATAGAGACAACGTTAATGAACAATGGACGAAATAATGAAGATTTGTTAGGCACGTGACGAATAATCACGTGACAGACTAACCGTAGCAGCAATGAGATGCCAGCATCTTGCGTCACTATTGAAATATTTTAGTAAATCACAGATCTTCTTATCTTCATATTCGCGAACATTGTCAGCTATGACACAACCAGCTATAAACAGCATCACAGCCCATATCACCATGTTGATGAACACCTAAAGTGAGAAATTAATCACAAAAATTTTGGATTTTACAAAACAACGAGAGGATAGAATGACTTTCTATTAACACAAAGCCATTAACGCTATGAAAGATTAATTAAATAGTTCGCTAAAGACAAAACTGCTTCATTTTATTCACCTACCGTCATTGGCCAGTTTATGACAGTAATTTTTTCATGCAATCCAACAACAAAAACAACGACCATCACAATGACAACAATCCAGGAGACGACAATTGCAAACATTCCAAAATCCAAGCGACTTTCTGAAGGGTTGGCTACGTCTATAAATCTCCCCAGTGTAACAAGGGCTACCAACAGTATAACCTAGAAATAAATCTAACGTTGATATACACATTACAGACACAGTATATGTATTATACAGTATTCTCACTCTTGCAAAAACTTGTTCTTGCGCATGTTAGCTCGCGCATGTTGGCCGCCATGTTGTCAGTAAGGAAAGAGGAATGAGAGTATTAAAAATGCATTACGGGAACGTAAAGTTTACCAACTAATTGGCAATGTTTTTTTATTTTTACGTATCGATCGGCTTTGTCTTTGTACAAGAACTGCTTTGAGGGTATTACTGCGTAGTTTCATAAATGCTTGGAGAAAAATATAGAACTAAGAATAGAACTAAGCCATATTTATCTTCAAAGCAGCTATTTTATTCAGCTACAGCCAATCGGTGGACAAAAACGCAAAAATATTTTCATTTAATTGTAAAAACCACATTTCTGTAATACAAATCTTAGCAATCTCACTCCTCTTTCCTTACTGCCAACATGGCGGCCAACATGCGCGAGGTAACATGCGCAAGGACAAAATGTTGAAAGGTTCAGACGAGAATGAGCATACTGTATAGTACCTATACTGTACTTCAGACCAAAAGTTTATGTACACTTTCAGTATTGTTTTTAATGATTACGTAATGATCGAGGTATGATTTAGCAAGACAACAAGCAACTTCGTATCTCTTCATTAGTTAAAGTGCTATTTAACAAATAGATAACATTTAACCGTTGTCTATACACTTATAGATACACGGGTAGGACATCAATTGTGATAAAAACTAAAAAAGTGGCCGTCGGGGCGAGTGGTATAGACAGTTATATGTTATCTATTTGTTTTATATAAAATCAAAAAAATTCCTAATTTAAACGGTCAAACAGCGTGTTTTCTTTGCTCCCCAACACTTGGAACACTGAAAAGTCGGGAAATATCACGCTTACGTGTCTATAGGATTAAAGAAATACTATTGGCTACCTTAATCACGTGATAAAATGTGATTGGCCAACAATATAAACAAGCAATGGCTGATCAATGTAGTTGAAATTTTGTTATCGAAGACGAAGTACAAAGCAATGCTTGAAAACCGGGCTTTTTCTTTTTTTTTTGCTCAAATACGTCCACTGCTTCAACTAGGCATTCTTAATTTCTTTGTTTGCTCATTCAGGGATAAATTCAGGTAAATATTGAAATAAGTTCGCCGCTCGTTTGTCATTTAAAAACAAGAAAATTTCTGTGACGTCAATTCCGTGCGTCTCTCCTCATATAGATCAAAGCTCTCGACCTACGAAATTGCTCAAATTCTTCTGGTTATTATATAATTAGCGATATGTTAAACATCGCTGTTACATCAAGATAACAGAACAAAAAATTTACATTATTAGGCGTAACTACCGAGGGCTTAGACTGAGCAAACACAGTGCTACCCTCTCCTTACCTGAGGGTAGCCATGAATATATAGTATACTATAGAAGAAACATTTGCAGAGTACTTGATCTTCTACATAAAAACTGACATAATTTAAAATCTGAATGGAAAAATCAGTGGGGGCTTTAAAAATTCAATCAAGGAGTTAACTAGCCCGAAACGTAAGAGTTTGTTTATCCTGAAATAAAATTACCAGGATATTTGAAGACTGAACGGCAGAAGCTGCACAGTTCTTTCAATAACATTTACAACGAATGCTTGAAATTTGTGCTACCATTAAGAAAATTATGGAACTTTTACCATTTACAAATCAACATCATCATCTGTGTGTACTATATTGTGTTTGCGTGAACATATAGGTTCGCTTGTATTGCTATCAATTTATACACTGAAAGTGGCCTTAGGATATATATTAAGGTTTTAATTTATATATAAATATATACAATGGATGAAATAAAAAAACACAGTAATGCATACAACCGCACTAGAAAGTATAAGAGCTTTAAAAAAAATGTAGTAATCTCATCAAAGGCTCTTTCACAATTTGAATAAAATAATAAACAAGTATGTGAATGAAAATATCCACTTACAAATTCTGCTATCTTCAAAAAAAAAGGAACCGTTTTGATGTACTCAGTGCCTTTCGGTATCGTTCCCATGTTTGGCTATAATGCTGGTATGAAAATTGAAAAATAAATTAAATTAACGTAAAAGTGTTAAAAAAAGTGACACGTCAATATTATTTACTTGTCAAATTGAATAATTTAGTTCAGCAATATTCATGCTTCTGTATTTCAATGTTATTTCACATTATATGACAGCAATGCAAAGCATCATGGCGTACAATATTTTACGCTTCCGTTCATTTCAGATATAATTTCATCCACAAAAACACTTACCAAGAAAAATACAGCTACTTTAAAGATGAGCATGTGTCGCGAGGACTTGACAACTTAGATTTAAAGCTGTAATTTGGCGTTTAACTTGACTCATGCTGCGGATGAACTGTTCAAAAACGTATCTTATTGCATAATTTTAAGAAAGCTTATGTATTAGTGATATCATATATCAAGAAAGAGGAACCAGCCCAGATTGTAAAATAGATTGGTTATGACCGAGTGAAGATTGTTCAAATAATGGTAGTATAAAAACAAATTTACAAATCCAAATATTTTGTAGAGTTAATATAATACTAACAATTCAAATCAATTTCAAAAGAAATCACTATGGCACGACAGAATATATAAATATGCCCCCCAATTAACCTTCTAGTTACGCCTCTGTTCGGCGACGCAAAAAATTCCTGAGAATGTTTGTTCTAAGAAAATATAAATTCAAATTTGCTACAACGCACAACAAATATGTTTGAATTTCTATCTACGCGCAGCATGTATAAAGGAACCAAAAATATTTTCATTGACATCTACCTTCTAACGGTGAGCAAAGGTCTTAAGGAATTGAAATACACAAAATGCAGTTTAAAGGACGCTCCGCCACTAAAACGTGCGGTAAGAATCGCATTAGCTAATTATAGCTAAAACACGTTGAAATCACGTCGTCTCAACGTCAGTAGCACCTTGAGAGAATTTTTGTTTAAAAGCTGAGGAAATGTATTTTTGTGGACTATTTTTATGTCTATTAGTGATATGACTTTTAAACTTCTTTGTCTAAACATCAAACTAAGATGTCGACCTTGTTTTAAAGTGTGAAGGCAAAATATATTATAAACAAGCGACGACTGCAATAAATGTGGGCTTTGCATGCGCACTTATTTATTTGTGCTAGATTTCTCTTCATGATAGACGGCTACACAAGCCGAACAAATCAACGAATGTTCATATGAATGAGTGACTTAAAAATTCTTATTTATTTTAGGTAAAGTAATAGTTTATGTATCAGAGTAGCATGAACGATGTTTCAATCAATGTCATTTTCAATAAAACATTTGCTATGAAGAATTGTCTTGCGTTCATCAACCTGAGTTAAATTTAACATCACACAGAACAAAGCAAGTTTTTGAAGCCCTAAGAAAATTTTCCCATCCCGGACAAGCCTCTTCCTTGAAGCATTAGTTCTGTAACAATATAAACGTAAGCCACAATTCGAGATGAAAGATATGTACAATCGATGATTATAGTAATGAACATCATTTTGGTAAATGACTATCGTTGTAGAAATTAGCGTGCATGCATATGACATTTATAGCACCAAATGTATATATATGTACTTACTTTAAATACACTGATGGCCAAATATCTTGATAACTTTTGCAGCTGGTTTTTACCTTAAACTGACAGTTGAAATTGAGTTTCGAATTTAGAACCTTGCACGCTTCTAATCTGCTCAGAAATGAAAAAACTAAATGAAGGGATGGGTTTATACATGTACCAAGTATCGATATTTCCCGATATTCTGATACCAAGAAAGAATATTAGCCTTTTTTTCACGCATGAGCCAGCAGTCCAAGACATTAAAAGCTTAGTGATGATTGCTAACTACGGGTTAATGCAAGTCTGTTTTGATTTCTATAAGACATTGTAACTGAGTTATATAAATGCAAACTTCGGTTTAAATCCTCCGAAAAGCATTTTGAAATCAATTTAGTTATATTCACACTTAATGTTTCTTGTTATTGAAGAATTAGCATCGAAGGAACGATGTCTTCGTGGGCAGAGACGTAACTAGAACGTTAATTGGGGGGGGGTGTATATTCATATATTCAGTTGTCCCCTACTGATTTCTTTTGAAATTCAAATCACTTTCAAAAGAAATCACTATGGCACGACGGAATATATGAATATGCACCAATTAACGTTCTAGTTACGCCTCTGCTCATTGGCGACTCTAAAAATTCCTGAGAATGTTCGTTCTAAGAAAATATAAATTCAAATTTGCTACAACGCACAACAAATATATTTGAATTTCTATCCATGCGCAGCATGTAAAACGTACCAAGAATATTTTCATTCACATTTACCTTCTAACGGTGAGCAAAGATCTTGAGGAATTGAAAATTGAAATACACAAACAGCCATATGATGGACTCGCACCGCGACTAAAACGTGCGGTGAGGATCGTATTACAAAGTTTTGAGGGAAGCTTACCTAACTATAGCTAAAACACGTTGAAATCGCGTTGTCTCAACGTTAGTAGAACCTTGAGAGAATTTTTGTTTAAAAGCTGAGGAAATGTATTTTTGTGAACTATTTTTATGACTATTAGTGCTATGACTTTTAAACTTCTTTGTCTAGACATCCACTTAAGATGTTGATCTTGTTTTAAAGTGTGAAGGCAAAATATATTATAAACAAGCGACGACTGCAATAATTGGGGGCTTTGCATACGCACTTATTTATTTGTGCTAGATTTCTCTTCATGATAGCAAACTACACCAGCCGCATAAATGAATAAATGTTCAATGACTTAACGAATGAACGAGAAATTCAGAAATTTTATTTTTTTTAGGTGTAGTAATTGGTTGATATAAAAGAGTTGCTTGAACGATGTTTCAATCATTGCCACTTTTTTAAATTTGTTATAAAAATTTGCCATGCGTTCATCAATCGGAGTTAAATTTAACATCGGACAGAACAACGCAAGTTTTGAAATCCTAAGAAAATTTTCTCATTCTGCGGAAGCCTCTTCCTTTAAGCATTAGTTCTGTAACAATTTAAACGTTAACCACAATTCGAGATGAAAGATATGTACAACAGATGATTATAGTAATGAACATCATTTTGGTAAATGACTATTGTTGTAGAAATTAGCGTGCATGTATATGACATTTATAGCACCAAATGATTAAATATTGACTTACTTTAAATACACTGGTGCCCAAATATCTTGATAACTTTTGCAGGAGGTTTTCACCTTAAACTGACAGTTGAAATTGAGCTTTGAATTTAGAAGCTTTCACGCTTCTAATCTGTACATAAATGATAAAATCAATGAAGGGATGGATTGATATTGTTCCAAGTATCGATATTTCCAGATATTTCCGATACCAAGAAAGAATATTAGCCCTTTTAACACGTATGAGCCAGCAGTATTTTGTCAGTGGTAACGTGTAAACTGTCAAAGACATTTCATAAAGGTGCGGTAAATTTCAAAATAAATGAAATAATTTCTACTTGATTTCCTGTGAGAGGAGAAAGATCCATGAGCATTAATTTATATGGAAAGATAAAAAAGGGTTAATTTTCTGCAAAGTGTCAAATGACAATGAAAAAGCTCAGTGCAATGTTTGAAAAGTTTATAAAGTAAAAGTTTAAATCTTTCACATTCAAAAGGTATTTTGCATATTATAGTAAATAAATCTTGTAGGAGTTGATTTTATTTCCCCTTTAATTTTCTTTTGAGAGTTTCTCTCAGTTTTCTTTTGGGTTTCTTGGATTTTCGTGGTATTTCATTCCATTTCACAATGGCAAATGCCCTTTTCAAGTTCATGTTTTGTTGTCTTTAATAATAGATCTCTTAAAACTGCAACAAGCTTTCTGTTCAACATCAACCTAGACATGCTGGCTTGAAATGACAAGAAACTAAAAGGCTGCAATTATACACAACGAACGCTGAAAGACTGCAGTCAAAAAGATTTTACATCCTACATTTAAAATGGTCGTTTCATTGTCGGTCTCTGTTGTTGGGCATTTTGATTATTGTTGAAAGTCCTCGATTAATTTTAAAAAACAATAGTATGGCGAAGCAAGAATTATCAAAAAAGACATTGCAATAATCTTATGTTTCACTAACAAATCCATGAATTGTAGACTTCTTGGGAAATAGAAATAATGAATGTTTGTAGCTACAGCTAAGGTTGTCGAAACGTCAGTTAACATCAACACCAACAGGCTCCACTAAGTTGGATAATCTACATCTACAAACATGTCACGATACTGTGAACTTCTCGAGCTACAGAAGTGATGAAAGTATACATGTCATTTATCAACTGCAATTTGCCAGCTTAAATCCTTTTGTGTTAGAAAATTCCTAGCTAGCGCACAACGTATTCGTAAAATTAAAGAACAAAAGCTGAATTTGAGAGCGATAATATCTTCATGTTTATATAACAAGCTCGAATTTCACGTATTTAAAAGACAAACTGGCACAAAATCAAATGAAAGAGAAGATTATGAAAATGCTAAATAAAACCGTATAGTCAGTGCATATCAATGACAACATTAAAAACTTTATTTACATGAAATTATGATAAAAACGTGAACAAATAGTATAACTGAATACACAAAGTAGAATTTAATAAATAAATGTTGCTTGTGCCGCATCCGTAACAAATCTTTCAGGTGTCGGACCAGCAACAAATGTGGCTGGTGACGTATCTGCCGCAAATCTTGCTGGTGTTGTATTCGTTGAAAATGTGCAGGTGTCGTATTCGTTGCAAATTGTTCTGATGTCGTGTTTGTAACAAAGGTTGCTGGTGCTGTAGCCATAACACTTGTTACTGGCGTTGCAACTGTAGATGTTGTGCGTTTGAATAATTGACAGTTGAACAAAACATTCAATGCCAAGGTTATGGTTGCAATAAAACAGCAAGCCTAGAAATATAAAGATAAATAGCTATATATACTAGTGTATAATTAAAAAGTAAAAAAAAGACTTGATCAGGGTTGTACTTGATATAAGGTTGTAAGAATGTAACCATTTGACCATGTGACCGACTAACCGTAGAAAAAATAAAATAAATATAAGTTGAATGACTTTTTCCCGCTTCATTCTCCAGATCACAAAATGAATTCTCGAAAATATTTCTCTTTCCGTTAAATAATCTGTGAAGAGTGTTAGACATGAGACCACAGGCGATAGGCAACATCACAGATGCTATATTTATGATATATTTAAAACAAATACTATTTTACTTGTTTGTAGATGTAGATCGTCCAGGTTAGTATAGTCCTGAGAAGGACTGTTTTCGTTGTTGTTGACTGGCGTTTCCACAACCTTAGCGGTATTCATCTTCAGAGTCAAAAATGAAGAATGGTTTTTAGGACTATACTAACCTGGACGATCTACATCTACAAACATGTAACAATACTCCCGGTTTCAAACCATTTACCTTAAATACTCTTTTCTCAAATAAAAAATGACTAATTTTGTTTACCTATAACTAATGGCCAGTAATGATGGTGAATTGCTCATGCAATCCAATTAAAAAGCACACAACCATCACCATGGCAACAATTAAAGAGGTAGCCATGGCAAGTATTCCAAAATCTAAGCATCCTGTCCCTACCCATGAATTGAGGGCACAACGTGCATCGTCTAAAAACAGCCTCATTAAAACGATGGCACACAATAGCATAACCTACAGAAGAATGAACCGTTGCATCTATATTATATCCATAAAAAATGAGATATACATAGCATATCAACTGCAATACATTTATGAGTCAGTTATAAGTTTTGATAAAATGATTTACTCACAGACGCGATTAATTTATGGACACATTGACTCGTTTTTAGGAACTAAAAGCCTTTAAGTATTGTCCCCATGTTTGGCTTTGATGCTTGTATATAAAAAAGAAGAGTAAATTATCATAAATTGAAACGAAAAATGAAGAGCAAAAATTATTCATCGAAGGCAATTTGCTTTAAATTTATTCGTACTCTGAGGCAAAAGAGCTGAATGTTTTTGGAAGAAGGTTGAAACCTCACCAAATTTTTTTAATTTCATGATTTATCAGTCCCAGAAAGAAACGACTTTTGATTATGAGTCGAAGAAATTTAAAGATTTAAATGACCGCCAACGAAGAAAGTAGTAGCATGGTTAAATTTCCAGCCAGCATTTAAAACTCACCAAGAATAGTTTCACAGTTACTTTCAAATAGTGTGGAGTTGAAAATTGGAACGCGTCAACTGTAGTTCAATAGAATCGCGCTATGCAACTAAATTGTTCGATCTGAGTTTTACTCAATAGTTCACAACGGGAAGCTATGCATTATTTACGAGCAACTTGTAAGCTAAGGAACTTACCTGCATCATGAGTTGGGAAAGCACAGAAGCAATTTGTAACAAAGGAAGACGATTGCGCAGTTTAATTTTCGTTGATGAGTTGGCTGCAATGGAGTTATACAAACACTTCGTTTTTCCTTTTTTCTATCTTTTTTTCTACTTTACTTTAAAGAATCGCATTGGCACAACAAGAGGCAGTTGGAATTTTTATTCTACAGTAAGAAAAACAAACCTTAGCAACAATTTTCTGAGTAACTTGGTCTTGCATGTTTAATGAAATTAGTAACTGCAGTTAATCATTTCATCATTCCTATTGGTCAAAAAATGCAACAGATTGTCTGCCATTTTGATGATGACAAGTGTAATAAGAAATACGTTGCAAAATTTTCTATGAGCTATATCTCCAACATATGGAGTCTTCTTTCTGAAGTGAAAACGCTTCATCCTCAGCCCTTTTTTGCCAATCTTTCTTTTCATACGTCCTTCACTATCAATATGATTATTAACACTATTAAAATTCCATATACCTTGACACATAGAGAAGATAATATTTAAACACACCAACACCAGTAACGACGTCAACTTAAGGGGCGTATGAAGAAGCTATTTACAGCAACTATAAAATTGCACATTAAAGTTATTTACAAAACGCTACATACAAGAAAGTTAATACTTTGAATATGACATAGTGTATAAGGTTATTAATCTATTACGTAATCACAGTTGAATTCAATAGAAATTAATTAAATAGAACGTGTATTATAGAAATATTACCCCTCTGAACCAATTATCAATCTTCGGCCACCCTTGTTACTTTTTACCAAATAATACTGCACATTTTCAGTTTATCTATGATAATAGGGACCTTAGTTAAACAATCAGTTAAAACTCAGTTTTTTTGCTTCATTTATTTAACAGAAGTACAGTTTTAAGTAAAATCGGTGACAAAAATAGCTACAGTTTCAACTGATTATATAATTAATGTCACTGGCGTCGTCGTACAAGTTTTGCTTTTGAATAAATGATAGTTTAAGTTTGCATCGACTGCAAAAATAATGGTTGCAATGAAACATCAAACCTGAAAAATAGAGATAAGTGGGCTAAATATTTGAAATACCCAGAAACTCTACTTTGGCAGACTAATACTTCATATAAGTGTGTGGCAAAATGTGATTAAGTAGTCATTTAACTCATTGATATGTATATAACATGAATCGTGCATCACTAATTAAATTGGAAGCCAGAAGGCGGCCATATTAAACAGTCCCACTTCACGAGGTTGACATACAAATTATATTAATTTCTGCTGTGAAAAATTGCAAAATCGTCTCCGAAAGTTATTTGACGAAACTGCTACGTATTAGCTTTAACACGATTAAGTGTAGGAAGCAGTTGTACTGTTAAGAAAGGATTTTTTCCAAAATTTTCGTGACACCATTCGAGAGATACTATCGCAAGAGAATGCTTTTAGCTTCACGTTGAAATTTTTTTTAAGGTGTATGAGTGCAATGCGCTCTAAAATTCATTGCTATCGTGGTTCTTTACTATAGACTATTATTGTGAGTGGGACTGTTCAATATGGCGGCGCATCTAATTATAGCTGTCTACTTCCGGCTTCAAATTTTTGCACTAAAACGATATCGGAAATGCACGATCTATGTAATGCACATATCAATGATTCAACTACGTGAATGACTAACCGTAGCCCTAACAAGATGAAAGCATGTTACACCGACTTTATCAGTGCCCAGGGAATTACATATTGTATTAGAGATCTTCTTGCTGTAATATTTTCGAAGAGTGTTGGACATAACACCACAGGCTATTAACAGCATTACACCCCATAGCACCATGTTGATGAATACCTAGAAATGGAAATTTACAAGAATTTCAGGTTTCTCTACGAGAAAATGAAATATAACATTGAGTACGATACTTTTCATCGACAAAAATACTGCGCAATATTATCTTGATGACAATCATTGATACAACAAAAACAAAATTTCTTTGATATTTTATACCTACCGTCAATGGCCAGTTAATCACAGTGACTTTTTCATGCAATCCAGTTACGAAAAAAACGACCATTACCATGACAACAATCCATGAGACGATAATTGCAAACATTCCAAAATATAAGCTACCTTTTCCTCCCCAAAGGCTGATGGTAGAACCTAAGTTGTCTAAAAATGCTCCCAATGTACTTATTGCAATCAAGAGTACAGCCTACAAATGAATGAAATATTTCGATATATATACATAAAGCATGGAACTGACACGTGTATAGTATATAATTTGACCGAATGCAGTAATTGCGAGGGTCCGCCATAATTTTAAATAAAGTAAACCACTTACAAATTCAGCTATCTTCAAGAAAAAGAGAATCGTTTTGATGTATTTAGTTCCTTTCGGTATCGTCCCCATATTTGGCTATAATGCTGATATGCAAAGAAAAGTAAGTTGACGTCATGACTGGTGGAAAAATGACATGTCAAAATTATTAATTAAAACCAAGTTTAGGTCAGTTATATTACGCTTGTGTGCTTAAAATTGGATGTTTTGTTTTTCCAGTTGCTGTGTAAAAGAGCCTGTATTTTAGAAAATACGTTGTAATATCAGACATTCAATCCATAATTTATTAATTATAGAAAAAAAAACACTTTTGAGTATGTCAATTCGATATGAAACATAAAAATATAAATGACAGTAAAGAAGAAAGAAAGAACATAGTGAAATTTCTAGCAATCGTATGAAACACTTACCGCAAAACGTTTCGCAGCAACTTGTGAACGATATGCAAAGATAGCGTTGAGTTGAAAAATTAAACACGCAAGCTGTTGTTCAGAAGACTCGCACCTCTTTACAATAATGAGTACAAGTCTCGTTATATATAATGTTATGGAAAGCTATGCATTATTGATCAATCACCACCTTGCAAGGAAAATGAACTCACATGTCACTGGAAAAGCACAAAATCAGTCAGTTCAGCGTTCTTATTGGTCAGAAATTACAATTTACTGGCTGGCGTGGTTGCCACTGTATGATAATTAAATGTGTTAAAAGAGAAGCGCATCAACACAAAATCACTACAGTGGCCCTCCGGCCCTACTGTTTGTTATCTATATAGTGTTTCTGCTGTGCAAATTTTATGTCCTTTTTTAGTCAATTCTATATTTTAAATAAACACAAAATACCTTCAATGTATTAGTAAAAAATTGCGTTGTTCGTCACTGCTAATCAAATCAAATATTATCTTAACATATCAATGTAGAATTTGATAATTGAATGTAAATCATAGAAACATTCTTGTTTTAACAATAAAAGATAAAGTATTCATCTTAAATAATGATCTCGAACCACTTCCAGTAAACATGTGAATAAACAGGTAGCCAAGGATATAGTTATGTCTTGAATCAGCACTTGTCCGCATGGACTCCATGCTGTCTGATATTTTTACATAAACATCTGTAATAAAATTTTGTTTAGGAGATAGAAACGAGAATTAAAATCAGATGTTTTCTGCAAAAATTCACAGGTAGGCATAAAATATTTTTTAAGCACGCGGATTTGGTGATATAAATTTATTAAAGGTGTGATTACACAATTTATATCACAAGTAATGAATAATTATATAATTATTATTATATACAACTCAAAGCTTCGACAGTGCTTTATCCATTGTAAGGAATGTTTTGAAGACAAAGTTACGATTTTAAAACTAAAGCTAATGCAATAATGACTACGTTTCTTCAAAGATAATAAAAATTTAATCATTGTGAATCCAAGACAACCAATAATACGCTATGTCACTATTCAGTCCATAGCGCTGCTTTCTGCAACTTGTTTCTCATCCGAGTCGTTCCGATTTGTTTCGTTGTTTTTCAAAACGACAGGGACGACTCAAGCTATTGTACTTCGCGTATATTCATAATAGCGCTGCCGAGAGTCTGCTTAATTGATTTCTGCGCAAAAAAAACGAAAATGGCAGCTGCAGTTTATGAAAGACAATATCTTTCGGCTGGTTATTTGCTTCTTCAAATCGTTTTTTGCCATAAAAATGTCGCTTGCATTTCTCAACCGTCGTTTCGGTCGTTCCGATAGAGCAAAGCTCTATCCAAGCGACCCTGGTTGTCTCAGTCGTTTGAGTCATTTGAGGTCATCCCGGTCGCCTTTGCAATTTTCTCATATAGTCACACGAGTCGTCTATGAAATTTAGGCACGACTGAAACAACTCAGACGACTTTATGAGAACCAGGCTTAAACAAAAAATCTAATTACGCATGCTGTTTTAGTAAGAAAGAGCAGTTAATCAGCATGGGTGAAGATATCTGTAAAACATTTAAAATAAATCCGTCATTTTTTGTATAACCACGTTAAATCGTGGCCTTAAAATTATTGAATTAAGGGGATTAACAGCAATTCTCAAAGACTCAGGACTTGTAATTGCTGGTCTGGGTAGGGGGAAAGTGATGATTATCTTTCGGGAGATTTTATTTTTCTCTTTCACTAACAACTGGTTTCAATTATTTACGAGTTTCAATTAAATTGCTCTTGCAATAATTTATTCGTGAATCCACCTGCTATAATAAAGAGTAGCGTATTTTTAAATAAAGCTAAAAATTGCAAGAAATGTATTGCTTCTGTAACATATGCAGAAAAAAGGACCTTAGTGTTAGGTGTTGGATCGTCTATAAACAAGATGGGCATAATGATGTCGCAAAGAGACAATTAAGATGGCGCTTTTTTAGTCCATCATTCCTATAAAGCTTATCAACTTAAAATAAATAATTCCCCGAGTACTTTCAGACGATAAGCAAGGATCCCAAACACGAAGTACATAATATCCAACGCTATTCTACGCTAGCATTGTATGAGCTCGATAAGCCATCAGTCTAAATCCATGTAACGAATCACAATAAGATTACTTCATTATGCATTCCATATAGTAAAAATCAGTAACGCGAAGGGATTGTTAAAAGAATTTATCGTTCGTTCATTAACGTTTTGGGAAGTACAATAGCATAATAACAAAGAACATTAAAACTCTATAAAATGTCAATAACAATATATGTTTGCAATTGCATGATTATAACAGTCAAAATAGCAGAACTATTTATCCGTACGGTGTCTGCCATTTGAAGATAGACTTGAGAAAGTTTTTCAAATGTAGGAACTAAAATTTGTCCGTCTTCACTGTGTTTGCGTCATTTTCTCTGGTTTACGAGTGAAACGGAACAGATCAGGTTTAAATACGCGCAATATAGAGACGACCACTTTCACACTTTCACATTCATACACTTAAAAAAACTATAAAGAAAGAATCTTGAGGGTTAATCATGCAATTGCAAACATTTAGTGTTATTGACATTTTATAGAGTTTTAATGTTATTTGTTATTATGCTATTGTACTTTCCAAAACTTTTATGAATGGACCCTACATTCTTTTAACAATCTCTTTGCGTTATTGATCTTTACTATATGGAATGCATAATGAAGTAATCTTATTTAAACTGATCATTTGCCACATTGATTTTACAAAAATGCTATTGGACTTTTTCTATACGTCTTTAAATTGCGGTATGCGATAATGATTGTCGTTCTTATTTAAATGACATGCAAATGCTTAAACTGACGTATTTAAAATTTATCTCTGTTAACTTGAGTGAAATTGATATCTATAGCGGAGAGTCAATCTTCTGTTGTAGCTACAGACTGAAATTCAGACCTTCAAACATGCTTGTAATGTAAGCGATGAATTTTTATTTTTATAGACACTAGAGCCGTACATTTTCAGCAATAATTAAGACAAGAAGAGAAGATGTTTTTAGCAAATAGAGATCAAACTTCAACATTACCGTTCTAACAATTTGTACTTGGTGTGTACTGCTTCTTTTTGAAGTTATTCTCATTTTAATATAGATTTGTCTGCCCAACCAACGAAAAAGAGGAAATGAGTCAGTTATTAAAACAGGAGAAGAAACTGACCGACACGAGTTGCAAGGCTCTGAAAGAGCTCCGAAGCAGGTGATGTGTGTTTTTATTGATGTTTTATGCGATATTCATGAATGTCAATGTTGACACTCAGGTAACATTTTTTCTTACAAATAACGTGCGAATTTTTTTGTCATTGAGACGCTATAAAACATTAAAACTAACCCAAACCATGTACGCTACTGTTGAAAGCAACAGGACGCTATCCCTGGATTAAATTTCGCTCAGTATGTTTCACAAAACTTAGGAAATGTATTCACAACACATGCGCTCACTGCTTACTGTAGTAGAAATGTAAACGGGAAATGTTTACCGTTGTAAAAATTTTACCTTATTTGGATGTACCATACCCTTGTATTTGCATACCGCTCGACGTTGGATTGAAAAAAGAGCAATTAAACATTACAAAAATTAACACATTAAAGTTTATGTCGTTTAAACGTAATATATGATCTAAATTATTGGATTTTGTTTCACGAATATTCCCGCCAGTCCGTAAAGTTTAAAGATAATTTTCGTTTCTATGCAAAAGAAAAGTGCACATTAAACTGAGGTAGCTAGAAGCCCCAAGAGATCCATTTCCAGAAAGAAACAAATTTTGAAATAACGGTTGGAACAAATTGGCAGTGAAACACAAAATTTTACTAAATTTGATCAAATTCCTGTTAAATTTCCATCCACAAAATGTAACACTAACCAAGAATAGTTTCACTCACAGCCCATATCACCATTTTGATGAATACCTAAAGTGAAAAATTAATCACGAAAATTTTGGATTTTACAAAACAACGAGAGGATAGAATAATGACTTTACACCACACAAAGCCATTTACGATATGAAAGGTTAATTAAATAGTTCGCTAAAGACAAAACTGCTTATTTTTTCACCTATCGTCATTGGCCAATTTATGACAGTAATTTTTTCATGCAATCCAATAACAAAAACAACGACCATCACCATGACAACAATCTAGGAGACGACAATTGCAAACATTCCAAAATCTAAGCGACTTTCTGAAGGGTTGGCTACGTCTATAAATCCTCCCAGTTTACCAAGAGCTACCAACAGTATAACCTAAAAATAAATCTAACGTTGATATACAAATTAAAGACACAGTATATGTATTATACAGTATGCTCGCTCTTGCAAAAACTTATCCTCGCGCATGTTAGCTCGCGCATGTTAGCTCGCGCATGTTGGCCGCCATGTTGTCAGTAAGGAAAGAGCAGTGAGAGGATTAAAAATGCATTACGGAAACGTAAAGTTTACCTACTAATTGGCAATGTTTTTGATTTTTACGCATCGATTGGCTTTATCTTTGTACAAGAACTGCTTTGAGTATATTACTGCGTAGTTTCATAAATGCTTGGAGAAAAATATAGAACTAAGAATAGAACTAAGCCATATTTATCCTCAAAGCAGCTATATTATTCAGCTAAAGCCAATCGGTGGACAAAAACGCATAAACATTTCCATTTTATGGTAAAAATCACATTTCTGTAATACAAATCTCAGCAATCCACTCCTCTTTCCTTACTGCCAACATGGCGGCCAACATGCGCGAGGTAACATGCGCAAGGACAAAATGTTGAAAGGTTCAGGCGAGAATGAGCATACTGTATAGTACCTATACTGTGCTTCAGACCAAAAGTATATGTCCACTTTCAGTATTGTTTTTAATGAATGCGTAATGATCGAGGTATGATTTAGCAAGACAACAAGCAACTTCGTATCTCTTCATTAGTGAAAGTGCTATTTAACAAATAGATAACATTTAACGGTTGTCTATACACTTATAGATACACGGGTATGACGTCAATTATGATAAAAACTAAAAAAATGGCCGCTGGGGTGAGTG